CAGAGAATTATTTCTCTAGAGGTGAAATGATGACTTGCTTAACTTATTCTCTATAACTCTATATTACTGAAGGTTGCTTAAAGCAGAATACAACTGGATCAGACAGCATTGATGAGAATCTGATTGAGCTGTCGGGACCCTGCTGGACTTTATTTCTGTGCATGACCCTCTTAGCTCCCTGGAATAAGAGAAGAAAGGTTGTTTTAGACATCTGGCTTTCTCGAAACTCTTGGCTTTTCCACCCATTTTTCTGTCAGCAACACCATGGAGAAGACTGAGACCAGCTATACAAAACCTCCTCTGTCCTTACCCATTCCCTGCTTTTTCTCCCTGCCTAAATCTTAGGTTCTAAGGAATCTCCTTGCTCTCTCCTCATCTACTTTTTCATTTATTTATTCGTTCACAAATATTTGTTGAGAAGCTACTATCTGCATAGCATTATGACTACAAGATGTCTTGGTCACTGCCATCAAGAGAGGATGGAACTGAGGTCACACAGCCCGCATAGCAGGGTCTTACTTTATCTTCTGGGAATTTTTGGCTGGCTGTCCTTATGCAGAACTTGGCTCCAGTCTGATTTCTGTGAAGCACTTGTAGACAAACTTCTCCTTGGGCAAATGCTTCCATTCTCTGTCTTTTTTTGACTTTCTTATCCTTCTTTTCTTGGATTGATTAGCCCCTTCATCTCCCTTATCAGCCCTGAAAGTTCCTTGAAGACAGGGACTGTGTCTTCATCTTTTCTGTGTACTGCATTGCTCTATATACTGTGGTAAAGTTGAGTGAAAAGACCATTTCAATAATAATGAAATTATTACCATTTATTGAGCATCTACCATGATGAATATCTCTAATCCTCATATCTTTGAAAGGTAGATACTGTTAACTTCACTTCATAGGTAAGAAAACTTGTGTTTAGGAAGGCACAGTGACTTTCTCACAGTCACACAGCTAACCACAGCAGAGTGCAGCAACAAATGGTTATTATTTTTGTTTCTGGTCCCAAACCCTGGTCTTTGCTCTACACCATTGTGTCTCAAATGGGCTGGGATCTCCTGGAAAGTTTTATTAAATTCTTATGACAGGGTCTTACCCCTAGCAGTTCTGATTAGTTGTTCTCAGGTGTGGTCTAGGCTTTGGGATTTTTGTAAAACTTCCAGTTGAGTCTAACAGGAAGCCATGGGCAAAAACCAGTGAGCTGCACATCTTGCCTTCCTGCGTCCCATGAGTTGCAGCTGTCGTATCGATGGTGGTGTGTGAGTCTGAGCCCACCGGGGTGGATATCCATGTGATCAGGCTGCAAGTTCTTTGTAGCCGGGGATCTTTGGCCCTCACTGCTGCTTCCCCACCCAGCAATCCTAACGCACCATGCAACAGGCACTGCCAAGGGTTGTTGACTATTTAATCAGCCTCTGGTTCTTGTGTCTCATCCATGGGATTCACTGATAGGTGACTGGAGTTTGATCACATCCAGCTGACCTCATCCTCAGAACTTGTTGACATAACAGAAGAGCCTTATAAACACACTGAGCACACTTGCTGGTCTGGAGCACGTTGCTGGATGACCTAGGCTCATTGCATATGCAGCCTGGGTCAGCCTCCTACACTTCTGCCACCCTGCTTGGGAAGGAAAGGGCTGTTTTGAAGTTCTCTGGTACAATGTTGTATACTGCTCTGGAGGAATTTGTGGCCCACCTAGTCAGTGAGGGTCAGCTCATATGTTTGTTCTCTTTCTGTCTAGAGTTCACAGAGGCCTTTTTTGACTTTTTGTTTTATAGGCAAGGCAGTGGAGGCACAACTAGAAATGACCCAGAAGATAAATGGATAGAGAATCCAGGTTTCTGACTCTCAGTGTGGTGCCTTTTCCATTGTTGTACAAGAGTCAGTGTCTGCCTTTTCACACTAGGACTCATCTGAAGTCACCAGCTCATCTACCTTCCTTCCTGTTTCCTTCTACCATAGTGATCCTGGGACACTCTGGATGTCACTTTCTGGCCCTGGAAAGACAATTCTGTCCTGCTTAATCCTGGGGTATGGCCTACAGGTGGTCCTGTTTACTCCAGGGGTCCTGTTTACTCCTGGGGTATGACCTACAGGTGGTCCTGTCATCCCTAGGTTCTTCCTGGACCTACTCGGCGGAAAGGAAATCTCCTGAGATGCTGCTCAGATATTTCTGGAATCTTCTCAGTCCTAATCTCATTTCCTAGTATTTAGTATTCCACTGTCATTCACTGAGCAGTAATTCTGTGCCAGGTCTTCATCTGGGCATTGGTGATACTAAGATAAAATGCATTTTCTGTGTCCTTTAGGTACAATCTCCTGGAGACAATATGCTAGTAAAACAATGTTTATTAAAGTATGGGCTGGGCGTGGTGACTCAAGCCTGTAATCCTAGCACTTTGGGAGGCTGAGGTGAAAGGATTGCCTGAGCCTACGGATTCGGATTCGAGAACAGCCAGGGCAACTTGGTGAGACCTTGTCTCTACAATAAATAAAAAAATTAGCTGGGTGTGGTAGCACATGCCTGTAGTTCCATCTACTTGGAAGGCTGAGGCGAAAGTATCGCCTGAGCCCAGCAGGTCAACGCTGGGGTGGCCGTGAGCATGTCACTGCACTCTAGCCTGGGTGACAGAGTGAGACTCCCAACTCAAAAAAAAAAAAAAAAAAAAAAAAAAATATATATATATATATATAGTCCCTAGATGCCCCCTGACTTATAAGTACAAGGGATGCTTAATAAAATGTAGATTTTTGGGCCCCCCATTCTAGATCAACTATTTTAGAATCCTGGGGATTGTATTTTAGCATGCTCCCTAAGTGAGTCTTAGGTGCTCTGAGGTTTGACACCTACAGAAGTGAGCCTGATGTTAACAGTATAGTGTCATATGTGATTGGGAGCACCAGGCAGGTGGCAGTGTGCAGGGGCATGGAAACTGAGACTGGACACTAACTGGGCTTAGAACAGCTTCTGGGTGTCATAACGAATGACTAGAAGCCAGTCAAATAGGGATAGCAGAGAATCATTTTCTAGAGGTGAAATGATGACTTACTTAATTTATTCTTTTATAACTATATTACTGAAGGTTGCTTAAGGCAGAATGCAACTGAATCTTAAAGCATTAACGAGAATCTGGTTGAACTGTAGGAGTCCTACTGCTACTTTATCTCTGTGCATGGCCCTCTTAGCTCCCTGGATTAACTCCTGTCCTTATTAAGCCTCACACTGTAGTCCTGTTTTCAGATCAAACCTCTATTTCTCTTCAGGTCAATGATTTGGGTTTGCAAAGTTTGCCCTCTAGAGGTTGGTTAGTGTCTGGGCCTGTGGGCTGCAGTTCTGCAAAGGATGACTGCCCTGCCATGTGGTCATGATGAGCTGGTTTTATTGTTATTTCACAGAAGTTAGGTTATTAGGAGAGTGGAGTGGAAGAAATAGACAGTCAAATAAAATAAATAAGAGAAAAACGATAGTATTTTACAGCCAGAGGACTCCTACTAAGCATCTGCTCAGAAACCTCTTGTTTTGGAGATGAAGAAACTGAGATTTAGAACAAAGATATGAAATACCCAAATGACACCACCAGACATAGCCACCAACTCTAGGGACTAAAATTTTGGGTTTCTGAGCAGTGCTTTTTCTGTTTGGCTACACTGGATTGAAGTCTTTTCTAAATTAACCCAGAGGACTCCTTATTTTAAAAGATTCTTTATGAAACCCTTTAGCAATCAAATCATTTGTTAGGGCTGATTTTATTTTTATTTTAAATTTTTTATTTTGATGCAAGGAGTACATGTGCAGGTTTGTTACACAGGCATATTGTGTGATGGTGAGGCTTGGGCTTCTATTGAGCCTGTCACTCAGGTGGTGGACAGTGTTTAGCTCCTGCTTATTAGGGAGGGCACATGGTATTCAGTTTTCTGTTTCTGTGATAAAACACTCAGGATGATGGTCTTTAGCCGAATCCTGCTAAAGGATCACCAATGCCCATGTTGCTGCAAAGGGCCCAATTTTGTTCTTTTTTATGGCTATAGAGTATTCCATGGTGTATATATACTATATTTTCCTTATTCAGCCTACCACTGAACAGAACCTAGGTTGGTTCCATGTTTTTGCTGTTGTGGTTAGTGCTGTGATCGACGTGTGCATGCAGGTGTCTTTTTGGTCGAGTGATTTGTGCTCCTTTGGGTATATAGCCAGTAGTGGGTAGGGCTGATTTTAAAATATATGCTCATGTATTTTCCTAAAGCATGGCAGACTTGGGTTTTAGAGCTTTGTATCACGTGTTTTTTACATCTAGAATTAAACTGAGAACATGTCTGTAAAAGCTTTACGCTTTGATACGCATAAGACACCTGTAGGTTGTTCTTAACAGTGTGACCCCCTAGACAACAGCGTCAGCATTACCTGGAAGCTGATTCTCCAGTCTCCTCCCAGGCCCACTGAATCAGAAACCCTGGGGGTGGGGTCCTGGGGGTGGGGTGCTTGATTGAGCCCTCCAGGTGATTCTGATAAACATTCAAGATTGAGAACCACTGCCTTCTTTGTATAAACAGGAGATCAGCTTCTGTGGCTGGTGGGAATAAGGCTTTACAACTCTTCAGTTTTAGTTAGGGGAGACAGGAGTGTTGTGAATAGTGTCACAAATCTCTGGGATGGGCAAAATCATTTCAAAGGTTTGGCTTTTGCTTATAAAGCAGGGAAAGCCTCTCTCTGTCTCTCGCTCCCCCTTTCTCCCTTTCTTTCTCTGGTGTGTTTGTAATAGCACTGTGACACTGAGTTGAGGAGCACATGTTGAGTGTGGCTCACCATGTTTTCAGGAAGCAATCTTTTCATGCTTCTCTTGATAAGGTGCTGCTCACCTAACTCATTTCTCTGTGTACTTAAACCCAAAGACTTATAGTCATAAATATTATAATACTTGTTTCTACTCTTCCTCCTATTATGTACTAATAAAAATAACCCCCAGAGTTATGAATTAAATAAAAATAAAACACTTTCTTGACAGGCTTGAAGCTTCAGGATTTCCTGATGGATAATGAAACGTTCTCTGGGTTCCTGTATCACAACCTTTCTCTCCCAAGGCCTACGGTGGATAAAATGCTGAGGGCTGATATCAGTCTCACCAAGGTAAGCTGCCACCTTCCTCCGTGGGCCTGATAGCAATTACGTTGTCCAAGTGCCTGGAAAGAAGTGAATAAACCCCTGTCCTTGTAGTGGTGGTGAAGGAGGTAGTTAGCTCAAATTCAGCGTCACCTAATTTTATTCCCCTGCCCAGGCTGGAATTGCCAAACCATCCAGAGAATGGCGTCAGGGTCCACCTGGTTGGCAAAATTGATTTCCTGCCGTCAATTGGCATTTGTGATTACTTCCTCCTTGAAGGGTTACATTTTAAGTTGAGCTAAACATTATTTTTTAAAAATTTCACAGTTCTGAGACAGTAACCAGGGTTGCGAATTATTGATCTGGAGCAGCTCTGTCTATAAAATCTGAGACGGGAGATTTTAGAAATGGAATGCTTTTTTTTTTTTTTTAAAAAAAGATGGACAAAGGTTACATAAGGAGATTTAAAAAAATTTTTTTAAACCAGGAAGTAATGTTTGTGTTTATATAGAACTTTAACCTTAGAGTCTTAGAATACCTCCTCTGGTATCATTAACTATCATACAGCTGCTGTGCAGTGGTCAGCAGACCCAGACTGTGTGGTTATTGATTTTTCAGAGATGCTTTTCAAGTTTATTCTCTGACAGAAAGAGGAACTGCTTCCTCATCCTGTCGCATGTCTACATACTAGCTTGTCTTTACAATAAGCAGAAGTAGGGAAATGTTTATGCTTGAAAATAAGGTTTTTGCTTCACATGATCTAGAATTTTTAAAATTAGAAAAATGTGCTTACTGTTTGCCCTTCTGAAAGTAGGAAAATATGCCTTGTGTGTACCAATTGTGCGGTTGGGAGATGGGCCAAAGGCAGTTGGCTTTTGAAAATAGTTGCATTTAGCATAATTTCCATTGCCCCCTGCCAATTTTGTATCTGTCACATCCGATCAGCTTAAAATAAGGGGGTGTTCTAAGCATGGAGGTGGTCTCTGCATTAGAGTAATTATGGTTTGTGTTTTCAGTGTTCCTAAACACAGACACTAAAGGTATGCTGACAGCCTGACGGCAAGGAGTAGTTAAAGAAAAGAGTAAAACTGAAGTGTGCTTGAGTATCTGGCAGTAGGTGAAAATTTAATGGAAACTATAACAGGCCAAATGTTCTGCAGTGTTTAGAAAGCTGCCTGGGTTTTGTGAGGCTTTTAGTCCATCACTCACATTATGTCAGGCTGAACCAATTTAAACTAACAGGCGAGCTGGTAATGGTGTAATAAGGAATCTGCATCATTCATTCATTCAACAAATATTTACTGTCTAGAATGTTTCAGCACTGTTAATGCAAAGTGGGCCTGATAAACAGAGGCCCCTCTTCTTACAAAACTTGTTCCCTGAATGGTAAGGGCTGTATATGAAGAAGCAGTTTGTTTAGGCCCAGAAAGGCAATTAAGTAAACAAAATATGACCAAGGAGAGGCTCTGTAGTGGATTTGCTATAATAAATACATAAGAATGACTTAGAATTGGCTTATCAATGAGGTAAGAAGAGGCCTGGTTTTCTAGAACTCTGCTCTGGGGCAAGTAAAATAAAGAATTCCAAATAATAAAATTGCTTGAGCATAGTTCTGTGTGTCAGTTAAATATCTGTACCTACAGTTAATTTGCATAAATGCTTTTCCCCCCCTATAATTCAGCCCAGTTCTAGTTTAAGATATCATACATTCCAAAATAGTGAGGATGTTTTTTCGCTAACAGAAGTGGTTCCAGGATTTCAGACTCTGAATTTCTGTTGTTGAATCATGTATCCCACAACTGAGAAAATGAGCTGGACCTGGGATTTTTGTTTGCAAGAAGGACAAGAGTGTGTGAGATATCGAGTCTAACACTGTGTGGATGTTTGAAGTGTCCTGTCATTGTGCCTTGTGCTTTGATACATTCTGAAGTTCAGTAAAGAGGCCCGATGTATTGGACTCTTGCTGTGGTACCTGTTTTAAGACCTTCAAAGCTGTGTTGATGTGAGGGCCCCAGCTTCCCAACTTTGTAATCCTATTTCACTTGTCTCTCTTTGCATGAAACGTTTCCAGGTATTTTTACAAGGCTACCAGTTACATTTGACTAGTCTGTGCAATGGATCAAAATTAGAACAGCTGATTCAACTTGGTGACCAAGAAGTTTCTGAGCTTTGCAGCCTATCGAGGGAGAAACTAGATGCAGCAGAGCGAGTCCTTCATTCCAATATGAACATTCTGAAGCCAATCCTGGTGAGTAGTAAACTTGGTAGTGGAGAAACGTTAAGCGCTAATGCTTTTGGAATGTGAAATTTTTCCTTGGACAATATGACTTTGTTTTTGTAGAAAAACAGGGCTTTCTGGGAGTTTGTGATGTAATTTAGCTCAGTGGTATTCTAAGTATTCTTTCAGACTTTTGGGCCATCTTCCAAGGGGTGAATGGGGGAAGAATAACCTGGGTGTGGCTGAGAGTAAGCCCAAAGTCCCTTGTGCCTATTTCAATCAGACAAGATCCACTTTTTCATGTTTTTAATATTATAAATCAAAGTAAGAATTCATCTGAAGAAAGAGTTCACTGGATTTAAACAAATGTCTGAAAACCTTTGATGGGAAAATGAATATCTATTCATCTTAAAAGTCCATCAGAAAGACATTATGGGCTGGCTGTCAGTCAGAAAACCTTGGACTTGGATGGGACCATTTCCGATAATTAGCTTACTTAGTGACAAAATTGTATTCAAAGAAAAAAAATCTCAATCAAGTTTGATCAGCCTAGGAATCGGTAGGTCAGAGAAGTACTTCATGAGAATACCCCATTCATTCATAATCAAAGAATGCTGGTGAACCTGAGTTTTTTGGACATGGGGCTGTTGTATATAGTTCCAGAACAAATATGTCTCTGGCTTTTCTGAGTGTGCTGATGAAATATCCCTCCAGCAGTATCATTTAGCATCTGACGTACTCGTTTCCTACTCACCAGATAGTGCCTTGATTTGTCAGTAAGATTCTCAAAACCAGGGAAAGAGCCCTGAAGGAGAGATATGTCTGGAAAGAGATGTTCCTCATTAGAATAAAGTGAAATTATATTCCTTTGGACTCTGTGCAGCATGATTCCTTTGCAGAGAGTTGGGTTCTTCTAGAGGGTACTAGGAATGATAAGTTTCCGGACCCTGTGCCTAGGTGATACCCTAGAATGTGTCCTTAGAAACACATCTCAGGGTTTATATTCTTGACTGACCATCACGAAGTTCTCATATCCTGAATGACTGTATGATGCTGTAGATACTGCTTGAGATGAAGGTAATAGTAAAACTTTGTGTGTGAGTCCCTGGGTACCTCTGTGAGGCACCCAGGTCAGTCACTGTGAAGGGCTTGGTCCTAATGCTTAAGATATACAGTGAGTTTCAGTGAGTCTATTTCAGTCTTTAAAAAAATAGAGTGCTTTGTTTAGTGGTCTGTGATTCTGTTGGTTAATGTTTGCATGTTATAATTTCAAGTAAGTTATATTCCTGTATTCGGATGTCTGCAACCCTAAGTAGTTTGCCTGAAAGGCTAGATAAGATCACTTGTGCAGTCTTTCGTAGCCTGTTGGCCCTTTTTGCATTGTGAGGGTCAAAGGTTATTACAAATTATATAGGAGGTCATTACTAACCATTTCCATGGACTGTTTTAGGCTGCTTTACTTCACTACAAGATAAAAATGCTCACCCTTTCTATTGGAAGGATTCAAATTTTGGAAAGATGAGTGTTTTTAGAAGACATAGTAATTTATTCTGGTGCCCCTTCTTTGTTTATTCATTAAACATTTATTGATTTCCTAACCCAGTAAAATCCTCTACTCACATAATGTCTGAATTGCTCTCAAAGTAGAATGACAGTAGAGCCCTCATCATCTGATTGTTAACATCTCAGTTTCAGCTTGAGAGCATCTCTCCATTTGGGAGGATTAGCCACATGATGGGGTGCATGGAGATACACCTTCAATATTGTCAGCCACACTGTATTCCATCCTTTTGTGTTGTGATTGTACCTTGTGGCTACATTGGTTTATGACCAGGAGTTGGTCAAGGTAGCTATCACATGCTTCCTGCACATTTCTTGATTATGTGGAACATCTCAGGTTATTCTCCTACTCCTCTGCTATTGTTGAGAGACCTCTCTCTATAAAGTCAGAGAATGGGAATCTTTAATTAGAATATAGTGAGTGAGGCCAGGCTCGGTGACTCAGCCTGTAATCCCAGTACTTTGGGAGGCCAAGGTAAGTGGATTGCCTGAGCCTGTGGCAACTTGGTGAGACTGCGTCTCTACAATAAATTAAAAATTAGCTGGCATGGTAGTGCGTGCCTGTAGTTCTGGCTACTTGGAACGCTGAGGTGGAAGGATCGCCGGAGCTCAGCAGGTCGATGCTGGAGTAGCTGTGACTGTGCCACTGCACTCCAGCCTGGGCGATGGAGTGAGACTCCAACTCAAAAAAAAAAAGAATATAGTGAGTGGTCAGGACTGTTCCATGTAAAGATGATTATGGAGAATGCCTTTGGGATGAAATGACTTCCAGACATTTTGAAATGCAACCCTTATGTATTGAATTAGGCAGAGCCTTAATTGGAGTCCTGGGGTTGATATTTGATTTGCATTTGGCAGTCTTTTCCCCCAGCTATTGGTTGAAATTTCAACGTTTGTGATAGTAGATAGATGTGACATGTGACGACATCACACATGGGCAGTTACTTGTGCCAAGAACTACAACAGGAGCACCAGCAGCAACCAGATGCCAGGCCCAGCATCATGGGGAGAGAAACTGTTCTGTCAATATATATACATTTTTTAAACCAAAAATTGGAGAGACATATTTTGAAACATTCCTTCTCTTTATTTTTTTGATGTGGGTGTTTTCCCATCTTTCAGCCAAGGATATCCTGACTTTTTCTCTTGGGACTCTTTCAGTATCAAGATCACCTCTAGATAACAATGTTTTGGCAACATGGGGAAAGTGTGGCAGAGTGGAAGGATCAGATGCATCTGGGTTAAAATACTGCCTAAGCATTTTACCAGTACTGACTTGGATACATTATTTAGCTCAGCTTATAAACTCAGCTCCCTCTTCTTTTGCATACAGATGATACATTTAACCCTTTGTTGTGGTTATTGATCATACATATGAAGAGGCTGGCGTGGGACCTGGCATACATTAGGTGCTTGGTAAATAGAAATTGGTAATTTAATTGATACTAGTAATAGAAACTGCATGCTGAAAACAACTGCTGGCAAGATAGACATTTTCTTATGTAGGTCAGTGTTAAAACTGTCAAAGTCACCTCAAGCAAAGTGTTCCTGGAGAATATATCAGTGAAAAACTGTTCTTTACCCAGATATTGCCAAGGCCTCAGATTCACCCCATAGATTCTTATTTATATCCATGCCTTACTCCATATCTCATGTGCAAATGAGTACTGGATGTCAGAATGGTATTATATCCTTAAAGTTATCTGGAATTAAAAGTGGTTTCCACTAGGCAATCTCTGTTTTCTACTTGAAAACTTATTCATTCACTGAGCAATGTGTATTGAGCGCTTATTATGTGTTAGGTAAGCTCTAGAAGCTGGACTCAACTGACCCTAGAAAAGATGACTTTTTGATGAGTATAAGGGTGGGTAGATACAAGAAGTATTATCTCTAGGGTAAATGCACTTACTCTTAAAGGGAGGCTCTTGTTACTGAATGTTCATAGTATTTGCCTGTTGAGATAACAACCTCTAGGAGGAGCTCCGGGCCCTCTGGTAGTGGCTTCTGTTGTTTTACTGCCCAGTAGGATGATTTGACTGTATGAATGGGTTGGGCAGGTGAACTTTTCCTCACCTTCCCTCAGGTCCTTCTGAAGCAGCACTCACCTTTCTCAGAAGGAGGAGGATGGTCTATGTGGGGGCCCTTCTCTACTGTTGCACGGTTACCTCCAATCTGTTTTGGACTGCAGGAAGATGCCTTAATAGTGGAACAGCAGAATTTGGCCAGAGGGATTTGTTTGCTTCTGTTGTCAAGATCCTTGCTGGCTGTATTGATTTTTCTGTTCTGCCATTACAAATCACTACATACTTAGCAGCTTGAAACCATACAAATGTATTATCTCACCATTCTGAAGACCACAAGTTTGGGTACAGCAGGGTTCACCTGGGTCCATTTCCTAGAGTCTCACAAGGCTGACAGGTGTTTGCAGGGCTGTGTTCCTTTTTGGAGGCTCTTGAAGATGAACCTGCTTTCGGGCTTATTCAGAATGTCGGCTGAATTCAGTTCCTTGCAGTTGTAGGACTGAGGTCTCTGTTTCCTTGTTGATTGTCAGTCAGAGAAAGTTCTTTGTTTTTAAGGGTTCATGTGATTAGTTTGGGGTCATCTACATAATTAGGATGATCTCCTTATTTTGAGGTTCACAACTTCAATGATACCTTCAAAGTACATTTTTGCCATGTAATGTGCATATTCACATACTGAGGGATTAGAATGTGGACCTCTTTGGAGGGCATTCAGCCTGCCCAGCTGTCTTTTTATTGGAGGGTATATTTTATTATGTCTTTGAAGTGTTCCCTCAGTGCCCTTGGTTTTTATTAAGTCCTCATCAGCTCTCTGATTTTTTTCCCCCATGTTTCGAGAGTGACTCTAAAGCATAATGAACATTGCTCATTAGGGTTTTTAAAGTACAAACCAAAGAGAGGTGACTTTGGGAAGCAGAGCATCTCTGAACAAGGCATGAGAATTTCATCCAACAAAACCATCAAATGTTTATTGTGTATCTGCTTTATACCAGGTACTGTTCTAGGCAACAGATGTTCAACCGTGAACAAGGCAGATATTATATACACGGAGCTTTCATTTTAGTGGGCACTAAGAACCAACTTTTAAGGTCAAGGCTAGGAATTTGAGGAATTCTTTGTAGGTTCTGGATCTGTAGCATGAGGGCTGTCCTATTGTTTCAGGTTCACTGAGAATCTCCAGACTGGCTCCCTGACGGCAATCTTGGCCAACATGGGACACTGTGAACTACAGTGGAAGGAGTGTGCACTTGGCATTAGCTAGGTTTAGGCTCTAGTTCTGGCTCACCGTTGTCTCAGTGATGTGAAAATGGTGTCTGATCCTTGAGATTAGAAGGACAGGCATACAGATTTATCTCTGCCTCAGTAATAACTTGAATACTGGAGACACAACCATGTGGTTTGATTGTCTTGGTGCCTGATGGTAACTGTAGCCTAAAAGGGAAAGTTGTT